TGGACAAAACGCCTGGTGATCTACTTCGGAAAAATCAACGATTGAAAAACCTATGAAGTGCAGTTCTGCTCTGACACACATGGGGTCACCATGAGTCGTTAATCAGTCATTTAACAACAACTGGTTTGAGTTTGTTTTTGTTTTTTTAAAGAGAACACAACAATTAAGCTATTGTAAGTCACTAATGTTTTCAAATGAGTTGGACTGATTAGTTCTCTATCCAGCCTGCAAACTGTTCAGCAAGAACTGCCTAAGATTATGCCTCTTTCAGTAACAGAGGCAATAACAGTTTTGAAGGGATGCTTAATAAAGTTCCTCTGAATTTTTAAGGCTGTATTCTAATGATAACCTGTTTATTTTTCATTTAAGGATATTAAAAAAGCTGATGAACAGATGGAATCCATGACATATTCTACTGAAAAAAATATCAGTTCAGTTCCTCCATGCTCTGTGAATACCATCAAGTCAGGCTTAAAATCAGACTTTGCTGACAAGTCTGAAGAATCCATCCAAAATAAAGAGGTAATAATTCAACTGTCAACAAGTTGTTCCCACATGTTCTCCAATGAATTTTTATTTAATGCTTATAATATTTAGAATTCATTTACAATGAAATATTACTATAGTGCTAAGTTTACAGAACGTAAGTCTCCCACAAACTTTAGCATCATTGTGACGTACTAAGAAGAAGGCCCTCTAATCAGAGTACATTTATGTCAGAGGTGGCTGTTGGGGCAAGAAATCCCATGGGAATGTTACATTACAAATTTACATCAACAGGATAAATAGTGCAATAAAAATAAATGAACTATTGATTCATGTAATACTATAGTTGACTCTCAAAATAATTTGGCTGAACAATCCCAGGAACAGCTGGCAGATACCACAATGGCTACTTGCGTTGTGCTTTCTCTGTAAAAGGCCTAGGTTTTTCTGTAATATAGTCCTTTCTCTGTAATAAAAGCATCAGCAACGGCAATGGCTACTAACATTTATTGGGTGCTTATTATGTGCCACAGTCCTTAAGCAGTGCAAATAGTTAACATGCTTAGCGGCTAACCAAAAAGTTGGAGGTTTAAGTCCATCCAGAGGTGCCTGGGAAGAAAGACCTGG